GGCAGTGGCTGTTTGTTTCTTTAAGAAGAAAGGCCATGAAGAGTAAGGGAAAGATAACTGGTGGAAATCTACTCCTGTTCTCCACAAAGATCTGCCAGACTGTATTCCAGGAATGCTGTCTCTAAGGCTTACTGAAGTCCTAAGAAAACTGCAGGGAGTTTTTGTTTGCATGGATCCACATTTACAGCAGTAAGAGTAATCTGCTTTCCTTCAGCAGAAGAGGTGGACTTCCCATGCTTATGCTTACAAGCCACAATGATGATGACTATGCAACCTTGCCTGGAGATTCTCCTCCTACCTGTGAGGACTGACACACTCTTCACGAGCTCCTCCACATTCACACTGAAGGACCACTGGAATGCAACAGATCATAGGCCAGTGTAGTTATAAATTTATAAACATCAAGTTTCCAAAACTGAACAAAACGAGACAAAGAACAGCATTCAGCCACCAGCAGCAAACCTACATTCACCTATCATAAGCTCAAATTTCCTGCATTTTGTATAAAAATATGACGTTTGAAGGGGCTACCTTCTATTTAGCAAGCTAGAGATCCCTAGATACTGTTTACCCCATCCCTCTTCTGATGGGAAGTACTGGATGCCAATATTAAACTCTTTTCTCATGTAGCTAGGTTAGGGAGAATTGATTTAATTAGAGGAGTTCCTGCCTGATGTTTTAATTCTGCCTCACAAGAAAACAGCATTGTAGGGCTTAAATAGAAGGCCTCTTATCTATGGAGTAGACAACTTCTTTCCTTAGCAAAGACGTATCTGCTATTGTATAAACTTACTTTTGTCAAGACACAGACTAATAGAACTGATGTACTGCACCAAGGAAACTTGAGCAGACAGCCTTGGCGGCAGTACACACACTGGTTTACTGCAGAGAAAGAAATGCAAGAGCTTTTAATGAAAGAAAATGAAAGAAGTCAAACACAAAGATAACAGCTTTCAATTCACCTACAGCACTGCAGAGGAAGCAATCAGTTTTGCTACAGACTTCTACAATTTATAAACTTTCGAAGGCCCTGTGATTTCAGCGATAACAGCTCCTTCTGGTTTTTCCTCTCAAATAACTGGCGATCAATGAACCCAGCAAACTAAAGCTCAGTTTAGTTTGACAGGCTAACAGAAACAGGATATGATACAATACCTTTAAAAATCTGTTTGAAAGCCACAGAACTGTTTATGCTTCATCTCTCAGGCCCACTGTCACTGAACTTTACTGCAGCTGTAGAGCTACAACTTTTGGAGGATGTGGTCTTAGCTTTGCAAAGCTCGGTTACTTCCATCAGTTTGAGAACACAAGTTTTTCTTCTCACAGAAGAGAGCTACATATGCTTCACTGCTGGTATAGCCATGAAACACATCCTTCTGTGCCGACTTGTATCTGCCTCCCCTTCCTCTCAAGTACTTTTGCACAAACTCTTTCAGGCTGCTGCCGAGGAGGGGGGAGGTAGGGGAGGGCAGTAATTGCACTAGAAATAGGGGGAAAGTAGAAAGATTTGTCATGTTTCACTAACTTAAACTTGCCCAGACCACACATCAGGGCTTTAAAACAATGCCAAGGGTCAAGTCATTGTTTCGCTGTGTGAACTACAGTCCTTTTTTCTCACCCTTGGAGATGGGATATCCTGACACTCCTCAAGCCTCAAATGTTTTTATTCCCTCCATACAGTTAAGTTTGGTATTTATAACAAGTATCTTCTTTTTAGCTTGTATAATCAGATTTGCTGTGTTAGGCCATCTGGCTTTGTAACACAGGCACTGTCATTAGCTTTATAAAGTTTCCAGAAAATTAAAGCTGCTTCTTAGAAAAAAAAAAAAAGGAAAGTAAAACAACAACCCCTCCTCTCCCCCACCCCCATTATTTTTTAATACATAAAGGGCTTAGTAATTTAGGTCACTAATTTAATCTGTATTAATTTAGATGACTGTGTTATTAAGTAACTCAAAGTTTTACACCATACTAATATAGTCATGAATTTAAGCAGTCCACAAATACTAAGTTTTTAAGAACCTGGCCATATTCCTGGTAAAGAAGTACAATACCTAGAAGCCAGTCAAGTATCCGTTTGTAATAGTTACAGCAAGGTGGCACAGCACCAGACCTTGTCAGTTCACCCTTTCCCCTCCTGCTTTCTATACCATTGCCAGTATGTGCTGCTGAGACTGGTCTGGCACATTTTAATTTTCAGAGTGCAGGCAATAAGAAAACCAGCTCTGTGCAAGCTTTGGGTAGCAGAAAACAGAGAAACAAAAAGAGTAACTTGGAACTTGCAGCCAACCCAAGTATGGAAGGATTTTTGCACAGGTGAAGACCCAGCTCATCACAAAGCAGTCCAAGCCCCCATCCTTGCATGGAGTCACTAGTTTCTAGGCTACTTTTCCATTTGCTTTTCAGCCACAGTCTGTAGCCGTTTCCCCACTTTAATGACTCCTAAAGAATACAATTCCACAGGACAGTGGAAATGAGGAGCTTTATCTCAGATCTCTCAGTGTTAGGGTACACAATAGAATACAAGAAGTCAAAACAGGCATGGTCCCACAAGCCCGTGCTGTGAACCACACAGGGACCTCTGTGCTTACTGTCAAGGGCAGAGCACAGCAAACAAATGAGACCACCACTTCACACTGCATCTTTTATTATAGCTTACCAGGATTCAAAGCTAGCACTCTCAGAGAAACACCCAATCCAAGATACCCATGGGTAAAGCGACAGATGCTGCACAACTAGAAGCAGCTTCAAAAGGGTGAGCAAATAGCAGTAACTATATATGCTCCTACAACATCCAACCTAAGAAGTCATGCTGTTGGGTTGTAGAAGAGACTAGCAACTGCATCTAAATAAGCCCAAATAACACAATAGCAATCACGAGCATCAATAACATTCACATCCTGAAATACCATATGCTCTAATTCATGTTGATATTAATGCAAGTGTTTTTCCCTATACAACAGCAATTAAAAAATAAAAGCTGAGGAAAGCAAATTATCTACAACCTTCCAACTAAATTCAGCTGTTTGTACTTTCACCAGTATTATTCACACTGTCACCTGTGGAACAAAAGCACCAGGATAGCTTGAAAACAGAGCCCCCTATCAAGAACTATGGCACAGCTCCTGTCTGCTCTTCACTGACATTTAAACTACTTTCTTCAACATTATGTTAACAAACCTTTGAGCATAACTACTGGTAGAAATACAAATCCAGGAGAGAACCAGGTGGCAGGGAATCAGCAGCCAGCTGTGTGCCAGCTCTGTGAGCAGCAGGACATTGCTGCTAAAGACCAAGCAGGGAAAGGACAAGGCTTGTCATGAGTAATATGGTTCTGCAGCCCAACCATGTGACCAAGAGCCATGACCAGCTCTTGGTCATTTTACTACCACCAGTGCAGCAAGGAAGATCTGGACACTTATTAAGCAATTTCCAGTGATGCTGCGTTTAAGATGATGACAAGTAAGCAGCACCACCTCAAATAAAAAACCTGGGCCTTTTTTTTTTTTTCCTTCTATGTACATTCTCAGCTTTCCCTTCTCTCTCTCCCATTTCTCACTTGCTTGAGGGACTGGGGATAGGAGGGAGAGAAAGGGAAGGTCAAAACAGAACAGTAGTTACAGCACCACTAAAATACTTCCTCCCCCAACTCTGTATCAAATCATTCTGCCTTCCTCTCTGTCTTGGCCAGAAGACCTCACAGCCGATTGCTATTACCTAGATTTTACTACCCAATCCTTCCTAAGCAATACTATTTTCAGCTTACTTTAAATATCGCCTTTAACATTATTTCGAAGTGAACCCAAGAAAAGGCTGACAACAAAAGTCCCGTGTTTTTGTATACTTACAACTGAGCATTTTGTACATTTTCTCAGCATATAACAAGCACAACTGCTACTCTAGACAAGTTGTCAGATATGACCCTCTAGTGTCACAAGAGCTATAAAAGTACACATTTTATTGCAAGACTGAAGTCAAAGGATGATCACAGAACCTTTTTTCTTCTTTCATCCTCCGTGCAGTTCTGCATCCAGTTAAAGGAGACTCCTTTGCTGAGAATGATCCTCTGCCAGCCCCATCATTAGTTTGCTCAGTGGTACAAGCTCAACCTGCTCAATGCCTTACCCTGTCAAATAACAAACACATGTCCACAGGTAGAGACTCCCCAGCCTCTCTGTGCCCCCATTTCAGTGTTTGATCATCTTCACATGAAGAGATTTTCCTGACTGGAATTTCCCCTGATAAAACTTGCACTTGTTGCACTTTTAAGGGCCTGATGTCCATAGCAAAGAAAACAAAACCACCAAAAAGGCCCAGAAGCCAATATCTAACACAGCTCTACAGACCTAGATAGGAACTAAATAGATCACCCTAGCGCTGTTCTGTATAAAGCAGTAGCTTCAAAAACTTAGCAACTGAAAAGAAACTACAGACAGTAAACTTGGTCCATCATCAGCTTCACTGTCCCTTCCTTCACCTCTGCAGCCCACAAGACCAGCTTTGAGCCTGCCCTTGCTTGTCCCTACAGTAGCTGTACTCATCCTGCTACCTCCAACGCTGTACACCCACCCACACACTCATCTCGATTGCCCCTCTCTGCCCCAAATACCCCCGAACTGCTGTTAGACTTCTTTATCCACCACCCCTTCCCTCACCCACACCACATCTCGCTGCTCTTCATAAATAACCGTGGGGGTTGGAATGTATCGAAACTGTCAGAGACCATGGGAAGGTTCCTACAGCAGTCAGTTAAGAGTGACCTGTCCCTGACTGGTACTTGGAAGATGTTCGAACTGGCAAGGAACAAGGACATCGGAACTGGAAAGAGGATGTCGATAAGAAAATCAGGTAGACCTTTCACCTGATGCAACCGCAAGGCAAACACAGATGTGCTTGGCTAACTGCTTGGAAGCATATAAATATCGTGTATCTGTTCAATAAACGATCCAGCTTGCACTCTACCTCTGGGTCCGTGCCTCCATCCTCACAAATAACTATACTTCTCTTCCCCCCTTGCCCGGCCCCGCCTGTGCCGCCTCCTCCTGCGCCTGCTGCTCCGTGCTCCAGCGCACCCGCGGGTCCCACGGAACAGCAAAACCAGGCGGCCAAAACTGCCTCACCCGGGCGCGGCCAGGGGCAGCGGCACCGTAACTCGCCCAGCGCGCCGGGAAGCAGCGTTGAGCCGAGCCGAGCCGCGCCGCCCCGGCAGAGCTCGGCCCTCACGCCCCCCCCGGTGTCAGCAGAAGGGCTGTTTTGGTTGTCCGTTCTCTCCCGCTCCGTGCCTGCCGTGTCCCCGCCAGGCTCACTCCCATTCACAACCACAGCCCACCGCCGCGACCCTGCTCCGACTTCCCCACGGCACCCCGTCTGTCCCGTGTTATCTCCTTGCGGGTGCGAGGAAGCGTACCCCGAGTGCCGCGTCCCCGTATCAGCCCATTCTCCGCTTCTCCCTCCCGGCCGCCTCAAGGATAAAACTCATTCCCGGGACCCTCACACGGGGGTGCCGAAGCCGCCCCGGGTCGCTGCCGCGGAAAGTCCCCGCCACCAACCCCGCCGCCGCGACGGCCACTCCCGCGGCTGCGAGTGCGGGCACCCAAAAAGTAACGGATTTAATTGCTAACTCCGCCCCGAGGCGCCCCCGGACACCACGGGCAGCTTCTCCCACAGCCGCATCCCCGCTCCGCGCGGACAGCAGCAATCAGCGCCCCAGCACTGACGGGGGAGCGGGGAGCACCCTCGGGGAGCCAGCGGTAGGAACAGAGAAAACCCATCAGGCAAGGGTGGCTGACCGCGTAAGTTAGGCGGACGGCGGTGGCACTCACCCGTCTGACGGGGAGGGACCTTCCCGCGGCCGCCAGCAGCAGGAGAGCGAAGCCGAGCGGAGGGGAGACGGACATGTCCGGGGAGGCCCCCCCATGCGCGGGGCCCCAGCGTGGCTCCGGCTCGGGCTTGGGCTTCGCAGTAACGATCAGTAGCGCCCCAGCCGCCGCTTTTGTAGCGGCGGCGTAGGCGGGGACGGGCCGGGGGCGGCCCAGGTGCGGTGCGGCTCCGCGCCGCCCGGCGGGGCTGCGCTTCAGCAGGTGCAGTAACATGGAGGGAAAGAAAACCCATGAAAAAAAAACCAAGAAAACGCCTTTGCGATCCTGTACCCATCTTTCCAATTTTTATTTTTTATTTTTAAATTTTTATTTATTTTAATCTTTGTCCAAGCTTGGGCACAGCGGTGGCCTTCACGCTGTTCATGACGTCCAAGTTTTAGTAGTTTTTAATAACAGAATGTGCAATTCCCCATTTATAACACGAATTTGAAGAATTGCTCGTTAGATCAGAGCTTGGCTTCTAAGTTGAAGTCGGGGCACAAATCAGTCCTAGCAGCAGTATGATGTGTAAATTCAGAGGATTTAGAATACTTATTTGCCTAACAGAAGAAGTCTCTGAATCTTCTTTGTGCTAGAATCTATTGTTGCTCTTATTTATTCACTTTGCACTCACTAGTAAACCTTCACTAAATCATATATATTTGGCAAGATTATACACCAGAACCTTGAAGAAGAAAGCATACAGCACCTAACAGTTTCAGAAGAAAAGCTCAACACTACATTGGGGAAAAAGATTTCACATTGGTTTGTTAGATGCTAAAGGAATATAAAGAAGTTAATAGCTTAAATATTAATGATGTGTATTAATTTCAAATACAACACAACATCAAGCTGATGCTTTGGGAATGTAAGTAGTCAGAGCACTGATGCTGTGAGATCATGAAATACCTCAGCATGTAAATTTCCAGGACAGAAGTTACATCTCAACAGAGAACTCCAGCCAGAAAGAATTTGCTACAGGGATTTTGTTAACTGAAAGTTAAAAAGATATTTCCTTCAACTTTTCTAAAGTGAGAAAAACAAAGGTTAAAGGAAAACAGTTAAATACTCCCAGAGAGAAGAGGAAGAACATATGTGTTGGATTGTTACAAGAGATGACCCTAATTTAGTTGAAACCTCAGGTGATGTTTTTTTATGTTGCTCATTGAGATTATTTTTTTTACTATCCCAGTAAAATAAATACTCTGTTCCTGTAGAATAATTATGTCCTGGGTTCAGCAGTAGCAGTCATTTTTCTCCTTCTTGGTAGCTGGTGCAGTGCTGTGTTTTGACTTTCAGCCTGGGAACAGAGCTGATAACAACGATGTTTTGGTTTGGCCAAGGACTTTGTGAGCCTCATGCTCTGCCAGGGAGGAGGGGAAGCCGGGAGGAAGCAGAGACAGGACACCTGACCCAAACTGACCAAAGAGGTATTCCATACCACAGCACGTCACACCCAGGATGCGTGTGTTAAGACACATACAGAAACAAGAAACTTCCGTAAAAGACCTACCTTTCTGTTACCTGCAGTTATCACACATCCTCAAAGGAAGCAAGCAGAAAGCATCTGCAATACCAGACTGTTGAAGTACATGACTAGGAAGACTCACAGTTGGCCATTAACTTACCATTATGTGGTTTGACTCCCCCAGAGATATAAGAGAGGCCCCTGCCCAAGCCTGTTCGCACCTCACAGGAATGTTTTACTTGAAGCCCAACACCTGATCCCATTTGGAAGTACCTCTGGGTTGACCTTACCTCCTAGCACCTGAAGACTACGCATGTTACATCCGTTTTTAACAAACCAACAAAAACACCAGGCAACTGAGCAAGATATTATCCAGCTTCCTCCAGGCCAGGAAATGGAAACCTTTAAATAAAGAGAAAGAAATCTCTTCCACCTGGATAGCTCCACCAGACTTAGCTTAGTGCACCTTCTTCACATGCAAATCTCTACTGCTTTCTGTTTGCTGTCTCTGCACCAGACATATTAATTAAGTTTTCCACTTAGGACTTCTGCTCTCAAGATGACTCCCAGCATCTGTGTGCAGCAGAGGGCCAGCTGCTTCTGCAAGAGCTTAATAGGCTCATGTCTCTCTTGAAAAGCACTATCAGGGCTACAGGGGTGACATATGTCACTTTGGAAGCAGAGATATTTCTTTGGGAAAATTCTGCTTTCCAGAAATAATCAAGGGTAACTCTTTAGGTATGATGATATCATACACTAGTGTTACATACATGAATGTTTTCGGAGGGAAAAAAATGGATCACAGTGAGCTCTGAACAGACACGTTTTCATTGTGTCCATTTAAGAAGCTATTATCAAATTTCAGACTGAACAAATCCTGTTGACTTAAATCACAGTAATAAAAGAGAGGTCATTTTCCTAAAGATGGGAAGGTATTTTTCCAAGAAAGTAAAGTCTTTTTTGTGGGAAATACTGATGAAAGTTGTCTATAAAACCTGGGACTGCTGGATTTCTGTTATATTTATTAATGGTTCTGTTAATACTAAAATTGAACTTGATCTTTCATCAGTGTTAATGTAATAACAGTTTGAAGCTTTGTTCAACTTAAGAATTTTATTTGTTGAGGCAAACACCTCTTTTCCTGTAGTTGAAGGACTGCAAATGCTATTTAAGAGGCAGGACTCTAACTTCTCTCTTGTTCCTTTACCTCTAGGCTGGAGCAAACCTCTTAGATGCATGAAGGAGAACCTATTTTAAGGTCACACGGCAACAAAGGGATTATTGTACTCTTATGACCATTGATCATTATTGAACTGATTCACTATATTTTCAAGGCAAAACTGCATTTTGGAAAAGCTCAGTGTCTCTTTTAATAACCTGTCCTGATAATCCATTTCTGTGGGAACAGTGTAACTGGTGGCTTACCATGGGAAGTTCCCATGGGTGAGAGACAAAGCCTGCACAAGGGTTTGTGTACACTGCTACCTGAAAACTAGGACATTAGCCTCATATATGAGAAAGTAACATCCCTGCCCCATGGCAAACTGAATGCTTTGCCTCTGAATGCTTCTGCCCTGACATTTGCTGAGTAACAGACATTTTCCTCAGCTGCCTTAAGACTGTTAATGCCAAAGACTGTTAATCTGTTTTCAGTGCAAGTTATGCACTTCGTGCTTCTCCATGACCTGTAATTATTCACTTTTATAAATGTCTTTTATAGCAAGTTTTATGGGACAGAGACATGCAATTCTTGGAAGTGATTGAAGTGAAAATAGATCTAAACTCAGTGAAATTTTATTCCTTTCTACCTTGTATATGTATATTTGAAGTTGCAGGGTACAGGGTTGCTGAGATTTGGAGAATGAAGAGTTTTAACTAAACTGGTGATTTATATGAAAAATGGAGGGAGTTGCTGCCCTATACAGTGGTTGTGTAAGAGTTGCCCATGTGCCTGAAAGGTTGTTAGCTATTGGCTCTTGTGTTTTGTAACTGTTGTGTGCTGCAGCAGTGAATTTGCTTTGAGTCAGTTTTTTCTTTACAAAGCTAAGAGGAAGTGTCAGGAAAGCTCAATAATAGCTAAAGTCTCTGAGTTGAGGACCAGCAACCTATGAAACTATCCAAATAAATCACTTAGAAATTTGAAATATGTGTTTAGGAAAAGAAGTAGAAGGATCAAAGTCTTGAAATATGGAATGTGGATGGTGTTTGTAAAATTTTAATTCATATAGATAGCTACTTAGCTGAAATAAAAGTTCATCTAAGCTGAATCCTTCTGTAGACTTCCTGGAAAAAAAGAAAAGGTAGCTAGCTCTGAGCAGTATTATGCAAATGAGAATTACAAACACATAAGCTACAACTGCGATTACAAGCACATTGATGTTTAGAAGGGAGATCATCTTGTCTTGGAGCTATGTATACTTCAATAGCTTTGGAGAAACTGAATTGTACCTTGAAACCTTGACTTTGGGAAGTGGGTGATTTACACTTCTTGGTAATACTCAAATTGATCTTACAGTGCTTTGCATCAGAACATGGCTACATGCATTATTTTTAGTTTAGTGCCCATAAGCGCTATTTGTTCTGTTACTAACGTTACCTGCTCACATGCAGGAGAATGTGCTCAGTACATGAAATAGCTCACGGAAACTATCCAGTGCTGGAGTGCAGGGGTTGAAATCACACACTTTTCTATAATGTGTAGTATTGTAGATGCATATTCAGAATGAATGTACAGAAGCCATTGCTAGTTTGCAGTTCTAGACAAAAAGGGCTTGTTTTATGGAAATACATGAAAAGAACAAGTAGTGCTTGAGCAAAACAGCTCCATTTTTCAGCTGTAAAGTAGCATGGCTTGTACACTTTGGGCTGTGTATTCCTTGATGACAACAAATGAATGAGTGCAAAACTTACGGGGTCTAGCTGCCTTGTGGAATTTATTCTATGTAATGATTGTATGGAGGGAATGATTTAGATAGATAGGTATCCAATTTCAATACAAAGCTTACATTCTCTGACT